ATTTGTAGTCTAAGAAATAAAATATCACCAGAGTTTGTGAATTGTTCACTGAAAATCCATTTATTCTCTTTCAAAAGTGACTTGCCTTTTACAGGACAGATTCTGTAGTTAGCATCATAGGAAGTGTCACATCCACAAACGGTAGTCAGGTAGGTGACAGTTCTCTATCATTTATAGAAAGGCAGAAGAAGGGGCTGGGAAGGTGGCTCAGTGGTAAAGTGCTCCTGCATGCATGAGGCCCTGGGTTCGATTCCTCAGCACCACATAAGCAGAAAAAGCCAGAAGTGGCACTGTGGCTCAAGTGGTAGAGCACTAGCCTTGAGCTGAAGCGCTGAGGGACAGTGTCCAGGCCCCATGACTAACCAAAAAAAAAGAAAGGCAGAAGAAAAGTCATATATCAAATGGTAGAAAAGCTTACTACATCCAAAAAAAAAAATCTATCTCTTGGTTTCCATTATGAGAGAAGAAGCAGAAGAGGCTAACAATGATGAAAACGAAAGGGTAAGATGTTGAGGAATGCTCATGTCCTCTTTATTTTCTAGGATAAATCAATTAGCACAAGTTTACCTGTCCTAGACCTGATAGATGCCATTGCTCCAAATGCGGTTCGTCAAGAAATGGTCAAGAGAGAAAACCTTTCCAATGAGGACAAACTGAACAACGCTAAGTAAGCCTTCATGGTTTATACATTCTCTAAAACGCTTCCAGGAGCTGAGTGTGGTAGTGCACACCTGCAGTCCCCATGCTTTGAAGGCGGAGGCAGCAGGATTTCGAGTTTGAAGCTAGTCTGGGCTCCACAGACAGGCAGGAAAGTCCATGAAAACCGGGAGTGGTGCTATGGCTCTTGTTAGAGCATTTGCCTTGAGCCTTGAGCTTTGGGGTGAAGAACAGAGTGCCCAGGCCAGTAGTTAAAAAGCGCCACGACCAACCAGAAGAAGAAAAAGAATAAAATAAAATCCCTACAGGAAAAGAACAACTTGAATGGGGAATGAGTTTTTAAAATTGCCTCCTTAACCTTTCTCTCAAGTTAATCTTATCAAAATGTTTCATCCTTTTGTTAAAATCTATTCAGTACAAACCAATTGATCACAGATACCAAGATGTTTTTCTTTTCCTTTCAAGATATGCCATCTCAGTTGCTCGAAAGATCGGCGCCCGGATCTATGCATTACCTGATGATCTCGTAGAAGTGAAACCAAAGATGGTGATGACGGTGTTTGCGTGCTTAATGGGAAAAGGGCTGAATAGGATAAAATAATGCAACATGTAATATGCTTTGCTGCCACACTAAACACCGGAATGCCTCGCAGTTTACAGAATTTTGAAATGCAGTGTGTACAAAATCAGAGTATTTGTATGCTGGAAATAGTTCTATGTTCATTCATGAATTCAGTACCCTGTTTGTATATTAGTTAGAACTTGTCAGTCTTTTTATTTTGGATGACACAACTAATTACCAGTTGATACTGGTTCATTATCAAGCTGGTATTTCATGATTAAATTATTTTTGTTTCCTAAAAGTTTTAGCAAAACCAGACAAATTCATTCTTTTTCATGGATTGAAAAGATCAGGGAAGTTTTGGCAGGTCATGCTATGAAATGTGTTTTGGATTTTTTTTTGGATGTGTTATTTAATTTTGATCATATAGTCAGAATCCAATTTAATCACTTTATTTTTTTCTTCCTACTATTCTGTAAATTTCTATAGTATTTAAAAACTGAAAGTGACAAGTATTGCTCATTAACATTAGTGTGTGTTTGTGTGTGTGTGTGTGTGTGTGTGTGTGTGTGTGTGTGTGTGTGTGTGTCTGTACTGGGGCTTGAACTCAGGGCCTCGAACTCTTGTTTGGCCTTTTCCCATTCAAGGATGGCATTCTACCAGTTGAGCCACACCTCTACTTCTTGCTAGTTAGAGATAAGAGTCTCACAAACTTTTCTTCTTTGGCTGCCTTCAAATTCCAATCCTTAGGTCTCAGCTAAGGAGTAACTAGGATATCCTACCAACAACCAGCTTTTTTTTTTTTTTTTTTTAACAATAAGAGAGCTAATTATTAGGGCTGGGAATGTGGCTCAGTGGTAGAGTGCTTGCCTAGCATGCATGAGGCCCTAGGTTCAATTCCTCAGTACCACAGAAAAAGCCAGAAGTGGTGCTGAGGCTCAAGTGGTAGCGTGCTAGCCTTGAGCAAAAAGAAGTTCAGGGACAGTGCCCAGGCCCTGAGTGTAAGCCCCAGGACTGGAGAGAGAGAGAGAAAGAGTGCTCATTATTGAGTAAATACCAGAGTCTACTCTTTGTATCAGTAGTAGGAGCTTTTTAACACTTAATTTCAACTGCTGTTTTGCATATCCTAGTTTGGTACTGGAGCTTTATCTATTACGTGTCGCGTATACTATATGTTGGTGGGAAGGTTTTAGAGAAATATGTGTATATTTACATACACATATACACACGTGAAGAGTTTTTTAAATATTCATTATATTAATTTTTGCCTGTCTCCTTCCAAATACTTGTAGCCAAACATTGGCTAGAACATGTCATGTTGGCACTATTCCATCTGTAGATTACACTTGCTAGTTTAGCTCTATAGTGAAATTTAAGTAATATAGGATATGCCCCCAGACATTAATGTTCAACCCACTTCTACATTTTACCCATAGCTGCCTTTAAACTGGCCATGTCTGTTTCAGGTTTTTGGTATTTGGGAATAGCTAAAACTTGAGCCTTTTCTTTCCCCTAAATTTTTAGCAGTATCGCAATCCTGCCACTCACAGCTGAATTCAGAAATCTGCTCCCTCTACCTTCCACTGTTTGTGCCAGTGAGCAAGACTACTGTGTAACAAAAACTGTCACTTCATCTCTACTCCAACTCCTTATACCATTGATCAAAATATGCATAGTAAGAGTGTGTCCATGAATTTAGAATAGGTATTTTTTTAATGAGAAGATCAACAGGTGGATATGTGAAATATATTCTTCTACAAGAGATTTTCTTTCCCTTTTATATTTTGATGATTGTTTTCTTATTTGAAGATCATGGTATGTTCTTGCTCTTTTATGAGAGTATTTAAATTGTGCTGACTTCTTTTTGTTTTTCACCATTATATTCACCAAACGATCTAATTTACATGGAATCTGGCACTTCAGGGTGTGCTTTTTCTCACAAAGTATATTTAATAAAAAAAAATGCTGTGTAAGTAGAAATGTGTCAGTATTTATTTCATTGAAGGAAAAATACACAGCCTGCCTTCCCCAGGCATGGTGAGATGTACAGGAAGGAGGAAACAGCCAGGAATCTGGAGTTCTAGACCAGTCTGGGAAAAAGTTAAGATCATCTTATCTCAGAAACAAAATGCAAACAAAAGGCCTGGAGACATGGATCCAAGTGGTAAAGTATCACCCTCTGGGTTTCAATCCCCAATTCTACAGAAACCAATGAATAAAAGACCAAAACAAAACATAAAGATCAATTAAAAGGTATACAAGAGTATTCCTTTGGAGGTGAGGATATTTCTTTTGTTCTTCTATAGGAAGGATTTTATTAGAGACCAACTGCTTTATTACACATTGAAACACCTTGAGTCTACCAACTCATGAACATACTTTTATTCTCTACTACCATACTATGTTAAACACTGGAGACTCAGCCAAAAAAAAAAAAAATCAGATAAAGTCTCTTGACCCATGTGGGAACGAGGGGAGGCGAACTCGGGTCGTTGGGGAAGGTCTCTGAAAGCAAGCTTTATGCTTGGACCAAGCATTCGTTCATTCAGCAGGGAGAAGGAGCGAAGGCAGGGCCCGGCTCGCAGAGGCGGGGGTCTGGGGACCGGGATAGGGTCTCACCTGCTTGGGGGACCACAGCCAAGTCTGGAATTACTCCTTTTAGCACCTGTGATGGACAGCAGGGGGTGGCTACTTCTGAACCATGCCCTCCTTCTGTTTGCTACGGGCCTCCCCTGTCTGCATCGTCGTTGAGCTCTGTGGACATCTCGTGGGTGAGGTCACCATGCCCCAATTGATGCTGAAGCAGGTTTCCTGGACAGGCAAGAGAAGACAAGAAGACATGCTGCATCTGAGGGTGTGTGTGTGTGTGTGTGTGTGCATGCGCGCTGGTCCCGGGCCTTGAACTCAGGACCTGGGCACTGTCTGCTCAAGGGTGGTGCTCTACCACTTGAGCCACAGCGCCACTTTGGGCTTCCTGGATGTGCCTGCCCTGGCTGGGTTCGAACCCTGATCCTCAGGCCTCAGCCTCCTGGGTAGCTAGGATATCCATACCTGTTTCTCAGAAATGCGGGTACCTCCCGCCCCACACATGGCGTGCCAGGGACCCCGAAATAACGCGGACAGCTCCCCGAGGGCTTTCGTGGAGGCTCACGTGCGTGCATGGCAGGTTCACCTCGCATGCGGCGCTAAGTCTATGATCTAGGTGTGGAGGAGAGCTGGGGTCCCCCGGGAGGGTCACCTGTGCCTCGGCTGGCCGCGCCGGGAAACTGAGGCAAGTTTGATTGCTGGAGCTGTGCGTCCCCCAAGCCTTCCCCGCCAAGCCCCGCCCACCGGAGCCCATTCGCTCCACACGCCCCGCCCACAGGGGCGCGTCCAGTCCGCAGGCCCCTGAGCCTTCTCCAGGATCCGCCCCCTTTCAGAGTGCGTCCACTCCGCAGATTTGAGCCCTCTTCAGGCCCCGCCCGCCACAGCGCATTCACTCCAGACCTAATCTCTCCAGGCCCCGCCCCATCCATTCCTGCCCACCAGAGCGCATCCAATCCAGCTATTAGCACTCTCAGGCCCCGCCCACCCCAGGCCGATTCTCCCGCTCGCCCCGCCCACCAGAGCGCACCCACTCCACAGGCCCTCTCATCGCTCTCTAGGCCCCGCCCACTAGAGCGATTCATCCATTCCACACGCCCCTCAGCCCTCTCCAGACTCCGCCCCCGAGGCCAGCCCCGGGCACACGCCCCGCCCCGTAGCCCCGCCCCCTCCGCAGGCCCCGCCCCGTCGGCGTCGCTCGCGCGCGCGGGGATGAGGATGACGTGAGGGAGCGAGTCGCGAACATCCATCCTGTCAGGGCGGCGCGGGGCCGGCGGTTCCCACAGCCCCGGAGCCGGCCGTGAGGGAGGAGAAGCGGCCCGCGGAGCTCCTCTCCGGTCGACCCCTCACGCCCACCGCCCCCTCCGGCCGGGCCGCTGTCCGCGCGGCCCCCCGCGGCTCCTGGCACGGCCCCGCGCTCGGCTGCCGCCCTGGCGCGCTCCAGTCTGTCGTCCCCGGACGGGCGCGGAGCGGCGCGGCCCGGCCGCCGGCGGCTGGGGCGGGGGCGCTGGCCCCGGGGCCGCGCCGGCGCCGCCACCAACCTGGGGCTGTCGGTGGAGGGCGAGTGCTGGCTCCGAGGGGAGGCGCCGCCCCGCGGGGCCAACGGGCCGCGCGCCGAGGCGGCCGTGGGAACCGCGCATCCCTTCTCGGGCCCCGGGGCGGGGTCGGGGCCGGGGCCGGCGGGGGCGCCACCCCCGTCCCCCGGCCTGCCCCCGTCGTGGGCCGCGATGATGGCGGCCCTGTACCCGAGCACCGACCTGTCGGGCCTCCCCTCCCCGTCGCCGCCGTCCTCCCCGAGCTCCTCCTCGCCGTCGCCCCACGAAGTCATGGCGCTCAAGGATGTGCGCGAGGTGAAGGAGGAGAACACCCTCCACGAGAAGCTCTTCCTGCTGGCGTGCGACAAGGGTGAGAGCTGGGCGCCCCCCGCCCCGGCCCGGCCCGGCCCTGCCTCAACTTCCCCCCGGGCGCCCCGCGCAGCTCCCTCCCCCCCCGCGGGGCGCCCTGCGTGTGCGAGGTGGCGGGGAGGGGGGTGTCAGCACCCCACTTTTAGCCTCACCCCGGCTACAGGCCTGGAGAGTGAGCCCGCCCTTCCTTTCTTTTGGGGAGCCAAGAGGTCATTCACTGACCTTCCACCCCCACCCCCCCCACCCCAGATTCCAGGACCTTCCCTTAACAGCCGCCTCCCCGTCCAGGGGCCTTTCCACCCCGTGTTGTTTGGTTTGGTTTTTAAAGAACTTTGGGCTGTTGCGTGGGTTATTTCCGGGGAAGTGGAACGGGGGAGCCCAATCTCCTAAGGACTGGGAAGAGTTTCTGCCTCTTCCCTTCCCTCCCTCCTCCCACAAACTTAAGACTGTCTTGATGCATTTTTTTTTTTTTTAATCCCAAGAAGAAGGTTTATTTGCTCCAGGGCCTTCTATGGGAGCTAAAGGTACTGGGAAAATAATTACAGAGCGACATTACGCGGAATGTATTTAGTGTGCCTTCTTCTTCTTTTTTTTTTTTTTTTTGAATCTAGAAATTGGTCATTTTTATGGCCTGTGAAGAAAGCCAGCATGTAAGTATGCTTCCGAGCGATGCCTGTCACTAAAAAAGAGTAGGGCATTTGCCCACTGTACGGCTTTTTATTTTTCCCCCTACATGAGAAACACTGAGGATTTTTGTTTCTAAAACACGCAGCTGTGCTGTGCCATGGTCATATTCATTTGGGGGGGGGAAAATGTGTGTTAGAACCGTGCAGGCTTTCAAGCGTACATCCCAAGGACAATTTACACTGTGGGAAGATTAATTGCAGAAGAGTTTTTGCCTGCCTGCGTGCATGAGTGTGCTTTAAATAAATTACTCCCTTTCTCACCCCGTAATGCTTTTGAAATAGAATTTTATTTACATACTTTTGGAAACACCTTCATGTATTGACTAAGTCCACTTTATGATCTTGGACACGTTAAAATAATATGAAAGCGTTTATAAAGATTTCATAGACATCTTTGAGCAGTGTTGGAACTGTAAGGTATGGAATGTCTGCAAAATCACAAAATTATGGTCTCTGCAGTGGGCAAGATTAATATTGCTGGCAGTATTAATCACAAATTGTCTGAAAGGGGGGTGAGTGGAGAAAAATTGTCTGATAGGAAAGTAGTAAATTGTGTTATTGTAGTATAAGTACTCCTGTACCTACCTTACTTCATCGTGATTATTTAGAAGCCAATAGAAAATACAACAAGAAAAGAAACTGGATATTCCAGTCAAATTGCAGGCAGAGGAATGTTATAATGGAATATGATGGTGTAGAGTTTTTATTTTCTTTTGGTCTTTTTTTTTTTTTTTTAAACAGCCTCAGCGTGTAGCTCAAGTTGATCTTAAATTCACAGTCTTCTCAAGTGCTGGGATTACAGATCTGTGCCACTAGATATGGCTTTGCATAGGTGTTTGGATAGGATTTTGGATGCTGTGTATATTTAGAATTGCTGTATGATATATCTCAAATCAAAGAGTTTAAATTGATAGCAATTCTGCAGACTACCCAGGGTACAAGTTGAAGCAGCTTGATATTTGTCAGTTATTCATTTTATACATTAAGATCCTTGGAGAGAGGCTGAGGGCGTGGCTCAAGTAGTAAGAGGGGCTTGTCTAGCATGTACAAGGCTCCAGGTTCAATCCCTAGTACCCTTATGAAAAGTAAAAAAAAAGTAACAAAATAAAAATAAATTCACGTGATAGTATATATTTTATTTGCATGTTTATATTGATTTAATGTTCTTAAACTTTTTTTTGGTGTTAAGCAAGCAAAATCTAAAAGTGAAAATTTTCTTTTTTTTTGGGGGGGGGGGTCCAGTCTTGGGGCCTGAACTCTGGGCCTGGGCACTGTCCCTCAGCTCTTCAGCTCAAGGCTAGTGCTCTACCACTTGAGCCACAGCGCCACTTCCAGCTTTTTTCTTTTTTGCTTATGTGGTGCTGAGGAATGGAACCCAGGGCCTCATGCATGCAAGGCAAGCACTCTACCACTGAGCCACCTTCCCAGCCCCGAAAATTTTCTTAAAATAGCTAAAACATTACACTGGCATCTTCAGACCAAGTAGTAGAGGTCTACTAAAGCAGCTGTTGGAATGGAGTATTCAGGCTCTTTGTAGAACATTTCCTTAAATCCTTACAACTCCATGAGCTAGATGTGTGTGTGTGTGTGTGTGTGTGTGTGTGTGTGCGCGTGTGTGTGCGTGTGTGTGCGTGTGTGTGCGTGTGTGTGTGCGTGTGTGTGCGTGTGTGTGTGTGTGTGTGTGTGTGTGTGTAGCCTCATCCACCTAAGAATAGAATCTAGGAATTTCTAAAGCAAAACTTGTGGAGATATGACGGTTAAGTGTATGTTAATGAATGAGTGGTCCTTAGAGAGGTGTGTATAGATTAGGTGTGTATAGATAAGTGAAGTGGAAAAGGAAAAGATTTAGTTTATAATGACTGACCTTTATGTAAATAAATTCAATAGATGCAGGAAAAGACTAATCTGAATAGTAGCCATTTCATAATGGGTCTGAACCTCTCAAAGGTAAAACTCTTTTGGTTTGTTTTTTTTCTGGACCAGTTCTGGAGAAAATTCAGTTTCTGTTCCAGTAATATAAGTCTGACTCCACCAAAAGAATTCTCATATTCTTTCTAGTTCAGAATCACAGGATAATTGAAACAAATTGACTTTCTAGGTGAACTTCATTAACCAATAAGGCATGATCCTTACTGCTCATGTCTTTTTCCTTTCTCATTGAGCCTCTTTAATTCATAGGAGTCTGTGGTATCTCTGGCCTGCTCATTAGAACAAGGATAGCTAGTGTTTTATTCAGGAAGCACTTAAACTAACTATGACTTGTGTTCATCTGTCTCATTTAGTTTAACTCTTGATGGTGGCTTTTAAGACATTTGTGAACATATACCCACATAAAGCCTCTAATTTGTTGATGATCAATAATGAATTCTATTGTAGAAAAAAAACATAGAAAAGGGCTCAGTCCCTGCCAACTCTCTATGGAGACTATTTTTTGTGGGGAGGAATTTAATTAGGGTTTGAGTTAGCAGTCTCTTTTAACATTCCCACGTGAGGTCAGAATGATCTGGAGAGAAAAAGGGCAGGATTTTGTCTTTAGGACTGGGTTCAGCCTACTGTGTGTTCTGTGAACTTTATGATATGATTACTGCACTATAAGGAAGGATATTTTAAGTTCTTAGATAAGTTTTGTTTACCTTAAGATGCTTTTCAAGTATGCACCAATTTTGGGAGTGTTTCACTGACATTAGCATGTTTAACGGTACTGTTTTGATTTACCAATTTGAGAAGAGGCTTCAGTGTGAGGTTAGAGAAGGATGGCGAGCATTGAAGATGCAGAGCGGAGAATTGCTGGGAGTTCTGTGTTGGCAGATGGTAGCAAAGGTTAAAGAGATTTGTACCAAGAGGGGAGAAAACAGAGAGTATGGTAGCACCATCCTACTCACCAGCCACAGCATTTAAGTACTGTATATAGGAAAGCCTGAAATCCCCAGTTTTAGGATGTCCTAGCTGAGAAATGGAGTGGGTAGGGGGGTAGATTGTGGTTATTTTACCATGGGACAGAGCAGCCAGCAAGCAAGATAAACAAAAAAGTAATCCTCCCTTAGACATATCCTGGTCACAGAGCTGAGTTTTTATTGTCAGCATCTTCCTACTGCTGAGTTACTACAGTGGATTCACCTGGAAGAAGATTTTGCACGCTGTCTTCCCGCAGCAGTGGTAACCTTTTGGGGCTCCATTCCTTTGGTCACTGTTGGAATAGCATCACTTCATGCTGTGTTTGCCAAGTTTTTACCATGAAGCATTAGCATCTAAATATTAATTAGTAGTGTTACAGGGACAGTATTTCTTTTGTAAATAGTTTTCTTCTGGAGGGAATTAAGGAACTATATTGTCAAGAAAATTACTGTTTATCTCCTTTCAAACTGTGGGGATTGTAAGGTTATAGGGTTGTAAGGTTATACTCGCATATATGTTTTTTGTTTTTTATCAGTTGTGGGGCTTGAACTCTGGGCCTGGGCACTGTCCCTCAGCTCTTCAGCTCAAAGCTAGTGCTCTACCACTTGAGCCACAGTGCCACTTCTGGCTTTTTCTGCTCATGTGGTGCTGAGAGATTGAACCCAGGGTCTCATGCATGCAAGGCAAGCACTTTACCACTAAGCCACCTTCCCAGCCCCTGTACTAGTATATTTGTGTGACTTTAGCAAGCAGAATCTACTACCTGTCTTTCTTAGCTGTCTCTTTGGTAGTGCTGGGATTTGAATGCAGGAGGTCTTGTGCTTGCCAGGTAGGTGGCATATCACCTGAGCCATGCCCCTAGCCCTTTTTGGTGCTTTAGTGTTTTAAGATAGGGTCTTGAGCTTTTGCCCAAGCAGTCCTTAGACTGCAGTCCTCTTAATCTCTGTCGGTTACATAGCTGGTGCAGATGTGCCCTACCTTGCCAGGCTTGTTTGTAATATAGGGTCTTGCTAACTTTGTGTCTGGGCTGTTCTAAGCTGGAATACTCCTATCTTCCATTATCTGAGTAGCTAAGATTACAGGCATGTGCTACCATGCTGGATCCTTGTTTTTGTATTTATTCATTTAGTCCAATTTTAGTATTTTTCTGTACCATGAAATCATTTATTTCTTTCTCCTTCTGGTTTCCATGCTGTTCTTTCCCAGTTTTTTTATTCATAGACTTCTAAGAAATAATTATATTTGCAAGTCACTTAAAATGGTATATTCATGTGATGTTTAAAAAGCAAAATGAAACATGACAAACAAGCTACCCTTGTTTTTTTCCCCTCTAATTGGCATTTCTCTTTATTTATTGTACTTACTCCTGCCCTGTACCATCTTGTCATTAGACAAAGATAGAATAGTTCTCAATTTCCTATGGGAGAACTGTTTCATTGTAGGCTACAGCCTGGCACTGTAATTCTAGTCCTGAGTTTTGTGAACTGAATGTTCCCTGGTTACTTAAGTAGCTTCATTAATGAGATGCTGCCTCTGTGTGTGTGTGTGTGTGTGTGTGTGTGTGTGTGTGTGTGTGTGTGTGTGTGTGTGTGTGTGTGTGTGTGTGTGTGTGTGTGTGTGTGTGTGTAGGGGGAGTGGAGGAAGAGAAAAGGGAGGATTTTCAGTCAATCTTCCCTCTAATTGTACTTTTACTACAAGTAAAAATATACATGTTGGCACCGCTTTTCAAAAGTCTACTTTTCCTCTTTATAATGTCCTCTACTTAGATCTGATTTTTAATCATTTTGATATGGAAGTAAAAGTATACATGTGTCTGAGCTATAAAATTTCTTCTTTTAAGAAACATTTTTTTTCTGGCTGCCAGTTTGCCTTTCTGGTTATTCTTTATTGCTTTACATATCTTCTATGAGTTTCTTTCCTTATGTCATCAAATTATGAATTTTAAGGTAGTTTTATTTCACATTGCTCATTTCAAACTTTTCTACTTGTATTTTATATTTGCTGCTGACACGCATATATACATATATATATATTTAAATCAAGATACACTCTAGGAAATTTTCACATTTGTAGTGTTCATTTCCAAATGCAAGAATGAGTTTAGGTTTTTCTTTGATCTTTTAATCCTACAAGTTAAATTTTTCTTTACAGTCATTCTTATTTAATATGTCTTGAATATTAAGTTATGTTTGTATATTGTTATTTAGGTGACTACTATATGGTTAAAAAGATTTTGGAGGAAAACAGTTCAGGGGACTTGAACATAAATTGCGTAGATGTGCTTGGGAGGAATGCTGTTACCATAACTATTGAAAACGAAAACTTGGATATACTGCAGCTTCTTTTGGACTACGGTTGTCAGGTACAAGGCCAGATAATTTTATCTACAGCTTCTAAGAACTGTTAGATATGTCATGTTTTCATCTTTCCTTCTACTTAATGTTCTTTTCCCTTGTTTTCTGTCTTTCTTTCACCTTCTGTTGGATTTTGAGCCACTAAAAAGTTTTGAAAACAGACCAAAGGTCTAACATTTTTAATTGTTCTACTTTTTTCTCTCTGAATTGTCACTTTCCCCTACATTTGACAGAAGTAAATGATCACACCTTTGTTTCTATGAACTATATTATTACTATTTTCATCATTGTATAACCAAGAATAGCACAGGGGTTCTGAAAGTGTTTGGGGAATAGGCTTTTCTGTGGCCCTTTTTTGCATACATACAAAAAATACTCATTAAACAAGTTTATTTAACTTTGGTTTTCTCCTAAGTTTTAACATTTACTTATGTCTAAAGATAAATGGTTTGTGTTAAAACTTGAAATGGTAGATTTTTCTAATTTGTCTTCATACCAGTTCAGGTAGAAAGGAATAATCAGTCTAGTATAGATTCTGAAGCAACTTTGGTACTAATATTTGCTTTTCTTTTTTGATTTGCTTGTAAATGGATGTAGCCATGGATTCTGAGTCTGTGTTGGTGTTGATGAGGTAGATTTGGGGGGTAGGGAGCTAAGATCAGGAAGCACTCACAGAAGATTGAGTATTAATCGATATTTTCAGAGTTAAAAAAAAGAACCTGTCTTTAGTTATCCAGAACAGGACCAAGAATGACAAAGTTAGTAACAAGTACTTCTGAGCAGCCTGAGTAGCTGGTAAATTGAATTTCCAACTTAAAAGTTAGTTGTAGGAGTACCTCTGGAGCCCTCCTTCAAACTTTTCTTTCCTTCCCATTTTGGATTCCATTTTACCAATTCTTACTTCTTAGATTTGTGGTCCGGTGAAGTAGATAAGCAGTGGAAAGGGCAGAAGAACTGCAGGGGAACAAAATGAGACACATTTAGCAAAGATGTAACAGCATTACATGTCTGAGGCAGCTGCATGTTAGGGTGCCAATTAAGGGTTCTTTTATCATAGTAAGGAAAAGTTAAATTATATTCACTATTATTTCAGAACAAAGAATATATTTACACAGTACTTCTGAGAGCAGAAGACCTTTCATCAAAGTAGTTTAAAATGCAAAGTTAAACACTTAAAGGCATAAGCTTCAGTTACTAGAAAATAAGGTCATAAGGAAATTTAGTCCCTAATGATTCTGGATAAAGAGGTATTGTGTTTTTACACATATGGTTTTATGTGTGTAGTAGTTCTACTGTGTTTTACACATGGTTCTTTTACATCTTGGTCACATACAACTATCATAGTCAACCTCTCTAGATGGTATTTTACAGATGGAAAACTGAGGCTCATAGACTTTAATGAGTTGCCCAAAGTCCTAAAATTAGTAGAGGCAAACCTAAGATTTGAATTTACTCTTCTGACTACAAATCCCATGCTCTTTCCAGTTCACTGTGTTCTATCCAGATTGCTCTGTCTTATTCTACCAATCAACAAATGTCCAGGACCTCCGGCTGGGTGTGATTATGGCTATGAATAAACAAAACATGGCTTCTTCATTGAAGGACTTGGAAGTGAAGTAGACAATTAGAGTGTATGTGAATTACAAGGCAACCTAATAATGCAAAGGTATATTTAATAAGTGCTGAGTGGTAATCATGTTTGACCCTTGTATATTGCTTTGCAGTTATAGAATGTTGACTTGTATATTATCTTGTGTTATAGTAGTGGTTCTTAACTAGGAGACAGTGGCCGATGTCTGGAGACACGTAGTTTCACATCGAGGTAGGTGACTACTGGTGTCTAGTGGGTGAAGGCTAGACGTTTCTGAACATCCTATAATGCACATGGCAGCAGCCACCACAAGCAAATATCCACCTAAAATGTCAGTAACGCTACCATTGAAAACCTCTCTTTTATACTTAAACTTTTGTGGTTCAATATGAATATTTGATATACAGGAAAGGATGAAATCACTGTGGACTGAGGCTATCAAGAAGAGTTTCTGCCTAGAATATGTAGGAAGCCCTGGGTTTGATCCCTAGCATACAAAAATAAATAAATAAATAAAATGACATTTTTAAAAGAGCATTAAGAAGCAAGGCACTGTTGGCTCACATCTATAATTCTAGCTACTTGAGTCAGTGAACAGCATTTTTGTAATAGGTGTTACCAGGAAAAACAACAAATGAAGCTGATAAAAAAAGGCCTTAAATACCAGGCTAGGAAATTGGCGTTTAATGTAGTATCATTAAATGTTGAGAAGAGGTGTGATCTGGGTCCAGTGGTATTTTAGAAAGTAAACCTGATTGAATTTAGTATAAATTGGGAAAGGAGAGGTGGCAGGAGCCTATGCAAGCAGTTTTTGTAGTAATTCCATTTTGACGATGTTAGCCAGACTGGAAGAGCAGCTTTAATATTAGTAAGATTAATAATAGCCAAGAACAGGAAAGAGGTGGGGTTGCACATCACCTTTGCCTAGCATGCACCAAGCCCTGGGTTTGAACCCCAACGCTAAAGAAAAGGGAAAGCAGATTTGAGAGATGTTATGAAGGAAGAAGGGACAGATCTTGATGAATATTTAAATCTGGAAGAATTGAGGATTGCAAGATGATCTGGAAATCTTAAACATGAATAGTCAGGAGAAGGATTAAAGAAAGCATGATCAGCAGAGAGGTCAGGCTTGGGACAAAGAAATCCAGTGTTAGCCTTGTTGATTTGGAGTCTTTGGGGTAAGTTCCCACCAGTCACAGGTGAAGATGGTCGCTTGGGAGAGATGAGGCTAAGGAGATACTGTAGAGTCATAGGTATCATGGTAGCTGGTGCAGGCTCATTCTTAGGGGTCATAGACATTTAATAAAGGACACTAAGAGCAAAGTGTTTCATCACTTAAGATCAAATGGATGCTTGACGGTGTCACGGCAGTTAGGATAGTATGGCATTGAAAGAGCCAAAGCAAGAATCTGTCACTTAGAAACTAAAAAGAGGAAACAGTAAAGGCCATTGTCATTTTAAGGTATGGCATTGACAGAAAATGGTGCACATTGATTCAAGAATTTTGATACAGCATGTCAAAATTTCTTGCCATAATGAGTACTAAGAAAAAGGATCAAGTTGAACTAGCAAAGAATTGTGAGAGGGAGGAGCTGGGACGGATGTTTCTGTGAATGACTTCAGGACCCAAGTCTTGTTCAATATTGGAGAGTATTAACACCCAAAACTAAGTTGGAAAGTAGCTTTGGAAAGAAAGCAGCTAGTGTCTTACTCTGAGTTTAGAGGAAAGAGTATGGGAATTGTTGAAAAGACAAATTCTGAAGGGGGAAGGATGATAGCGACCTCATGAATACATAATAAGCTGAAGATACTTTAATAAAGAATGGTCAGATTTTAAAAGTAGTGAAAATATGTTTTCATCAGAACTGCCTTTTACTTATCAAGTGACATACTATTTGTACAGAATAAATCAATAGTCTTCATTTACATGGCATATTTATATAAATATTTTTATAGCTGAAGCTTATCCTTTTAAGCATCGAATGGTTTTATGCACATCTTTATTCTTTATGTGGTATATCTGAATATAATTTAACTTTACTGTCAGAAGTTGGAATCTTTGCAAAAGTAATTATTTTGCTTTGCTTCAGATGGTCTCTTAGGTTACATATCTTTAGACTGCTTTTACTGATAAGGGACCTTGTTACTCCAGTATTTGATTTTTTTCCAGTGGTCCACCTTTAGCAATTTGTTTTCTTCGTTCTTGCCTTTTCATCTAGCTATGTCCTAGTCACTAAGTCCGAAGTATACTTGGGAGAACCTGACAACTGGTTTATAGTTGTCTGGAAGTGGCTTATTTCTTCTATGAAATAATGTTGGTAAAGTTAGATTGTGGTAGTCCATCTTTTGGTGTTTTGTGTTTTCAGTTGCAGCCATAGCTATATTTGAGATGGTTTTGGTTGTTCAGTATTTGAGAGCCAGCAGTACTGCTGTAGTTAGCTGTCTGGGTTGAAATTAAAAGCTAAAAATGAAATACTTAGCCAGTAATGGATACAGAGTTCTTTTTTTAAAAAGTTTGCTTCAACTGACCTAATATGCTAAAATTAAAGAGACATTTTAATAAAGCATAAGAAAAATGCTAGGATGTAAAGGCAAGGGCAGTAGCCCAATGTACTCCAAAATTTTCAAAGGATAACACAACTGATTACATTTCCCATTTGGGTAGGAATTTTTTCTATGGAAAAACATAGTTGATTTTTAATGGCTGAATAAAGACTGCCACACTTTCTTTGGGGTATTCGTTCTTATGTTACCATCAAAAAGGTAAACCTGCCATTTTCAGTCCTTTTTCTGACATTCAGATTAAGTGGATAAAAGCTTTTATTCTTTTTAGTTACAAACAATTCTAAAGAGATGAACTAGTTTTATTTCCCAGAGCAAGAATGTTGATTGGTTAAAAATATACAGATTGAAATAATCAGAGCATTTTCTGAGATTAAATCATTATTCCCATGTTTTCCTTCTGCCATTGTGGGTTTCCTTAAATACAAACAAAACAAAACCACAAGAAACCCAAACCAGATGTCACTGTTACCAGTATGGCCATGTATTCTGTTACTCAAATTGGGAAGTCCTCATTCCCTCCTGAGCCGGCAATGGTTCGTTACAGTGAGCTTCTGGGTTAGGAATAGACCTATGAAGTTTCTGCCCTCTTCTGTCTCCATGAACTTTGGTAACTGCACTTGGTAAGACTGCAAATAGTAATGACAAATCTGTACCACTTCAGTCAGCTATGGGTGTTTTGAAGATGAAAACAGAGGGCTTTCCCTCTCCTATACATATTTTTCTATTCTCCCTTGTTCATAATCGCATTAATGACATTGTTCCTCACCTATTCCCCACCTTGTAGTAATAATTACTGGTGATTTCTTTTATAGATTTGGAATGTCATGATTTTTTTTTTTGGTCCACGTAAAGATCTTGTAAAACAATTTCACCTTTAAATACTGTTCCCCTCACAATTCCTTCAGCCAAGTGCTCTTCCTTCCTCAGCCCATGGCCGTGAACGGGCAGACATGCACGTGTGTCCAGTGCTACACACAGTGCTGCTTAGGTGTGTGCTGCTTAGGCAGGCAGATGTACGATTTGTACACACTACATTTTTGAAAATACCTATTACTGTATAAAATACAGTTTAATAAAGCTGAATTAGTAAAAAAAAATAGTTTACCTTTTTAATCTTCCATTTTCATTTTTAACTTTTTTTGTTTTAAAGTCCGCAGATGCACTTTTGGTGGCAATCGACTCTGAAGTAGTGGGAGCTGTTGATATACTTCTAAATCATCGATCAAAATCATCATCAAGACCAACTATAGTAGTTAGTACTCTTAAATACTTATTAATTTGGATTTTTAAATGAAAGTAGATCTCCTGGAATTGCCATTTTTTTTCTTCCCCCAAATTAATTATATATTTTTAAGAACAGATTTTTTTACTCCATAAAATATTACTTTAAAGGAAGTAGCTAATTGTAAGAATGATAGTATTGCTTTCAGGAAGCTTTTTTTCATTCAGTTGATATTTTCTTAATTTGTCAGTGTGGAGACCAGTATTTTTAGTTTGGAATATTCTGCAGGTAATGTTGAAAATATGGATTAGTTTTTGATAGATTTAACAATTAAATGTAAACAATGAAACCATATAACTGGAAGAAAATGAAGTTAAATATTTGGTTAACTGGCAGTGGAAAGATTTTTTTAAAGCATAAGAGCAGTGGGTAAAATATAGTGGTAGAGTCTGGCTATTTTTTGAGCCAACAGAAGTTCAAACAACAGACAGAATGTAGAAAGTAATAAATAGCTAGGAGAAAGTATTTAAAGCAAGTCTCTCCAGTTAATAATATTAGATAATGAAAAATGTTGAAATTATGGTAGAACGTAAAACCTCAGAAAGAAAATACAGCCAGGCGCTGGTGGCTCAGGCCTGTAATCCTAGCTACTCAGGAGCCTGAGATCTGAGAATCATGGTTCAAAGCCAGCCCGGGCAGGAAAGACTGTGGGACTCCTATCTCCAATAAACCACCAGAAAACCGGAAGTGGTGCTGTAGGTCAAGTGGTAGAGTACTCGCCTTGAGCTGAAGAGCTGAAGGACAGCAGCCAGGCCCAGAGTTCAAGCCCCATGACCAACAAAGAAAAAAAAAAAAAGAAAATACAAAGCATTAAAACCTACTGATGGCGAGGCTGGGAAAGTGGCTCAGTGGTAGACACTTGCCTTGCATGCATGAGGCCCTGGGTTCAATTCCTCAGCACCACATAAGCAAAAAGGAAAAAGCTGGAAGTGGTGCTGTGGCTCAAGTGGTAGAGCGCTAGCCTTGAGCTGAAGAGCTGAGGGACAGCGCCCAGGCCCAGAGTTAAGGCCCACGACTGGATTCCCCCCCCCCCAAAAAAAAAAAAAACAACCTACTGATGGTCAGATATAAGGTATTTATTTTTGCTTGTCAAATTAACAGACTTTAAAAAATAGAATAATCAGGGATGGTGAGGGAGTACTGTAGGCTTACACCCTACTGGTGGGGCCTGTATGCATGATGCGCCATAAACAAGAAAGATGCTTGTATTCTTCAGCTTAGTTCTTTCTCCTCTAGTCATCTATGAAGGACATGGTCAGGAAAATAGGCAAATGATTGATTAAGGCCTTGTTTCTTGTAGTGAGAAAAGCCCCATGTGACACAACTCAAACATCTTGAAAGTAGCTCAGTGGTAGATGGTTTGCCTGGAGGCCTAGATTAAATCCCTAGCAAGTGGGGGTAGGTGGGGGAGACAATATTCGAAGAGAGAGAAGAGAAAGCATATAAATAACTACATGTATACATAATAAATGCTAGTCATTTAAATATTTTTTAAATATTGGAAAAATAATGAAAAATGATAACAATGAATTGGAACATACAGCTTCATGTTATAGGTTGAAACTATGGGTAGGAAAGCAACTGTATTGAGATGCAACAAGGTGGTGCATCTCTTGGTCATCTCTTACTGACTGTAATTAAGGTTTTTCTTCTTTTTTAAAATGTTTACTTTAAAGTTAGAAAGATAGTTGCTGCTAATCAAAGAAATGTCCATTTGAAATGAGATATTTATTTTCCAGCATATTTAAATATTACAATATTTGTTGTTGTGGGGGTACAGTAAAACAAGCATTTTAAATAGTTGTTGAGTATAAACTGATTATATTCCAAAAATACCTTCTTTTGGTTGGTAGCGCTCTGTCTGCCCTGATCTGAGAACTATGGGGCCACTGCAGAATTCATACTTTGTCCTATTCAACTAAACATTTTTTTTCTTTCATTTAGGCTACTACAAAACTGAATATTTGGCTGATCAGTAAAGTGCTTGCCTAGCAGGCACAGAGTCCCTAAATTCAATCCACCAAAAAAACAAACAAAACAAAACAAAAGTGTGACTGTCTCCAGAGGATAGGACCTCCTACTTTAAGAGATACTAAGAAACCAACAGGAATATAAGTAGGCCTTTAAGAATGTAGCCTTATCAAAGGACCATGGCATCCTAGATTCCTCCTATTCAGTTTTTTTTCCATCTGTTTTGCAGTGGCTCTTCTATTTTGGTATGCCTGTTTCTAGCCTTTTGACTTATTTCTCATGGGCACAAAGGAGTGTGGTATGCTAGGTACAGGTACTTAGAACTACTAACAGGTTTTTATTTCATCAATGACTTTAAGTTTCACTTGATGTGGACTTGATGAGCTTCACTGGAATCAAACAGCTGTCAGAGAAACCTCTGCAAACGAGTGAGAAATATTGGAAAGAGTATGCATTAGACATAAAAAGCCAACTTTTTGTCTAATCCTGATTGTCCAATTACTATTATTTTGTCCTCATTCCATGACATCACTAGGCCCACGGGCCTGCATAGCATAGCTGAAGGAGTTCAGGCTCCCAAGTAAAACAAATGTGAATTCTGATCAGCACCCTGTTGCTCTGTTGTGTGTCTTGGGCACATTAACTTCTCTGAGCCTCAGTTTCTTCATGGTTATTAACTATGCTCAGTTTTTCAGGCTGCTATAGGAATCAAATGGGGTGATGAATGTAAAGTGCCAAGTAGTTGAGTTCTCATTAAATAGTGGCTCCATTGTTAGGGCTTTTGTGGATCTGTTAGAGGACTAGCACAGATGACGATGGAGAATGTGTAGGGAGGGACACAAACGAAAACTGCTTCCTGTTTCCTACCTTTCCCAGCAACCCCGTTGCTGTCGTGCATTGATGCTCTGCCTGTTGTTCATGTTTAGTTTTTCATTACATTCTTTTTCTAAACTTGTTCTTTATCCTGTGGAGCATGTTTCTACAATCCTATAAAAATTAAGTGCTTTTTCCTCAGGTATTTCTCTAAATATCCTCACTTCTTTGTTAGAAAACAGAATTCTAGTTATGTGACTATTACCTATTGAAAGTTATTGCTTATCATGACGATATCCAATTAATCATTAGAATTAAGATTCCCAGTTTCAAGATATTAGTCTAAAGTGTTTATCATATTCCTTAAAATAATTTTTAAGTTCTCTTCAGTTCTTTAGCCTTCTTATTTTTTCATTTCACCCTTTGAATAAATATATTCCAGTCATACATAATAAGTCTTGCATATTTATGTAACTGTTTTTCAGAAACTAATGGAACGAATTCAGAACCCTGAGTATTCAACAACTATGGACGTTGCACCTGTCATTTTAGCTGCTCATCGTAACAACTATGAAATCCTTACCATGCTGTTAAAGCAGGATGTGTCTCTCCCCAAGCCGCATGCTGTTGGCTGTGAGTGCACATTGTGTTCTGCAAAAAACAAAAAGGACAGTCTCCGACATTCCAGGTCAGAAAGGGAGGCTTTTGGTAAACACCTGGGTGATGCAGTAAGGTATACAAGTTCACAGTGCTGACTTTTAAAAATTACTTCTCTATATGCCTCTTTTTTTTTCTTTGGTCAGTCGTGGGGCTTGAACTCAGGACCTGGCGCTGTCCCTCAGCTCTTCAGCTCAAGGCAAGCGCTCTACCACTTGAGCCACAGCGCCACTTTGTTTTTTTGAGTGGTTCATTGGAGATAAGAGTCTCACGGACTTTCCTGCCCCAGACTGGCTTTGAGCCAGGATCCTCAGCTCTCAGCCTCCTGAATAGCTAGGATTATAGGCGTGAGCCACCAACGCCACTTCTATATGCCTCTTTTAAGAAATGTGACGCCAGACTTCTAGCACCTTTGCTCAAGACTGAGTTGACTTCCAGCATCTTTGCTCATGACTGAGTTCTGCATTTTGTAGATGTGTTTACAGGTTGAACAGTACAAAGTCATGTAAGATCCATGGGTATGAATTAGACTTGAAAAGATGATTTTCAATGTTAGAAAGACTAACTGAACTATGGTTTAGATTTGTTTTTTTCCACCAAAACTCATGCTACAATGAGATTTGCAGCATGGTGGCACTGAGAGGCAGGCCCTGGGGAGTTGCAGTGTCCTCAGGAAGAGAGGCTAATGTCTGTTTCAAGAGCCTGCGTTTGTTCTTGTGGTAGTGGGTTAGTTATTTTAAAAAAGTGCCATAAACCTCCCAAGCTCCTCTTACACATGTTTTCTTCTGAGTATGGTGATGTTCCAAGTGATGGTAATGTTTAGGGACTATTTTCATGTGAAGTAGGGAAGGATACTTGATCATTATAGTTTTAAGAAACATTTTCAGTATTTCAGTTGCTATGATTGTTTTTTAAAATTTGTGTGTGTGTGTGTGCTCATGTGCACTTGGGCATGCACACGCCAGTACTAGGGCTTGAACTCAGGACCTCATACTCACTAAGCTTATTTCATTCAAGGCTGGTGCTCTACCACTTGAGCTATATACATCCACTTCTAGCTTTTTGCTGGTTAATTAGAGTTAGGAGTGTTAGGGACTTTTTTTGTTGTTGTTGGTTATGTGACTTGAACTCCAGGTTTGGGATCTCTCCCTGAGTTCTTTTTGCTCAAGGCTAGTACCATTGAGGCACAGTGCCACTTCTGGTTTTCTGGTGGTTAATTGGAGATGAAGATTCCCAAGGATTTTTGTTTGTTTGTTTGGTCGGTTGTGGGGCTTGAACTCTGGGCCTGGGCGCTGCCCCTCAGCTCTTCACGCTCTACCACTTGACCCACAGCACTACTTCTGGCTTTTTCTGCTTATGTGGTGCTGAGGAATTGGACCCAGAGCCTTATGCATAGGAGGAAAGCACATTACCACTGAGCCACCTTCTCGGCCCCACATTCAAGTTTTTAACAGGATGATCTTGAGTTTCACCCATTCTCCTGCAAATAACATGATTTCTTCTTTATGGCTAAATAATACCCCCATGTGTAAACATACCTTTTTTTTTGTCCATTCATCTGTTGAGGCACAAAACTTTACTAGTGTTAATAGTACCACAGTAAATTTGGGTATTCAGGTATCTCTACTGTATGCTGACTATCATTCCTTCAGGAATATGCCCAGAAGTGGTATAGCTTGATCATATTGTAGTTCTACTTTCAGTTTTTCATGGAACTTCCATACTGATTTCAATAGTGGCTGTCTTAATTTGCATCCAACCAACGGAGTATAAGAATTCCATTTTCCCAACATTATGCCAGTATCTGCTGCTTTTTTTTTTTTTTTTTTTTTTGGTTCTGGGGCTTGAACTCTGGGCCTGGGTACTGTCTTAAACTTCTGTGCTCAAGGCTAGCACTCTTACCACTTGAGCCACATCTCCACTTGTGGCTTTTAGTGGTTAATTGGAGATAAGAATTTCTTAAGATTTGTTTTCGTGGGCCTCCTTTGAACCACGATCTTCAGATCTCAGCCTCCTGAGTAGCTAGGATTACAGGTGTAAGCCACTGGTGCCTGGCTTTTATGTCTTTCTTTTCTTTTTTCTTTTCTTCTTTTTTTTTTTTTTTTTGCCAGTCCTGGAACTTGAACTCAGGGCCTGGGCACTGTCCCTGATCTTCTTTGGCTCAAGGCTTAGCACTCTATCACTTGAACCACTTGTGCTACTTCTGGCTTTTTCTGTTTATGTGGTACTGAAGAATCAAACCCAGGGCTTCATGCATGCTAGGCAAGCACTCTACCACTAAGCTACATTCCCAGCCCTTTCATTTCTTTTTATGAGAAAGTATCTTACTATGTAGCTCCAGGCCGTCCTGGAATTTGTGGTCCTTTTCTCTCAGTTTCCTGAGTGTTGAGGTTATAGGAGTGGGCTACCAAGGAATTGTGAGTCGATGAAAAAAGACAATAAAACAATTTTTTAAAGTAGTAGATGCACTCTTTACTTGACTTACATAATTATAACCTCTCTGTCCATCACCTTTATAATAACATTAAATTTCTTTAAAGTCATAGATGCAGTTTTCTCCAATAGTTGTAGCCCAGATTATTTAATTTTTAAATATTTCTCCTTTCATGGAGATTTTTATTTAAATTTTTAAATGTTTCTCCATTTATGAATGTCATCTTATAATAGCTATTCTTATATGTATTCTCCTTGTTACTTCCTCTTAATTTTATAATACTCCATAAGATTATAAACACTTTAGGTTAAAACTCTAATAATGTGTATATAAGATTTTCTTACTTAATCCGATGTCATTATAGGTTTCGTCTTGATATATACAGATGTTTGGCAAGTCCAGCTCTGATAATGCTAACAGAAGAAGATCCAATTCTGAGAGCATTTGAGCTTAGTGCTGACTTAAAGGAACTCAGCCTTGTGGAGGTGGAATTCAGGTATGAATAAATGGAAACTGGAAATTCTATAAGGTCTTATTTTTCCCATTGCATTTCTTCATGAACAGAATTATAATTTACATTTATTTACATTGGATAGAAGATGACCACAGCTTGCTGCCACTTCCATGGCATTTTCCCTCAAAGGAACAGATCCTAGTGCTATTCACTCCTTCCCTATCTACCCCTGCCCTTTTATAACCAGGGTCACGCCATTGGTGAACTGAGATTTTCCTTTATGGCAGAGTATCTGTGGTACTCTCTAAAGAAGGAGGTGATTAAAGATTCCTAACGAATCCCTAGGTCAGGGTTTCTGGCAAGTTCTTCTGCTCACTGGTCTTTTCCTTCACATCCAGTTCTTGTTGGAGCTTCTCATTCCATGTGGTCCCTTTTGGGACTTGATAAGATGGGGGAAGTTCAGACTACTACCTCCTGGAAGGAGACAAGAGACCTACAGTTTTCTTCAGCCTTAATAGCAGCAGCATAGAGTGGCTTCTTAATAGCTTGTGTATAATTTTTGCAAGTTTAGAATTATACTTTAAATCTGGATACACTGAATTTTATTTAATCTTTTTTTTTTTTTAATTCTTTTTTTTTTTTTTGGGTCCAGTTGTGGGGCCTGAACTTTGGTCCTGGGTGCTGTCCCTCAGCTCTTCAGCTCAAGGCGAGCACTCTACCACTTGAGTCACAGCGCCATTTCCGGCTTTTTTCTTTTTGCTTATGTGGTGCTGAGGAATCGAACTCAGGGCCTCATGCATTGCAAGGCAAGCGCTCTACCACTGAGCCACCTTCCCAGCCCTGAATTTTATTTAATCTTGATATGACATAGGTACATACTTTTGTGGCTCTCCATAAAACATGGTGAAAATGTAACTTTTTTCTACCTCTAACTACATTACCACCTTGTTTAAATATGTAGAAATTTCTATTGTAATCTTATACTTTTGAGATTTACAGTATAACATAGAAACCACCCAATTATTCCAAAAAAAGATTTGAAGCAAGTACTCTGTTATGTTATAATCATAGGTTAATTAAGTTGATTCAGAAATGGTCATCAGTGTTTTTATAGACAGATCTATGAAGACTAGATGTTTTACTAGTATCAGCATCAAATTAGTAACAGAGCAGAAACTGAAGTAAAGCAAATTACAACTACAACATAGGACTCCTGACTTCTAATCTGTCTTCATCTGAACTGTACAACCACTTGTTTGTCTCCCAATAATCTAGTAGAGATGAAGCAAATTACACTAATAAAACATATTACTTTTACCCTTAAATCTAATTATCTGTTAAGTGTTTACCAAAAGATGAGATGTCTTTATACAATATACACTATCGGTGATTGTCTCCTTCTGTAATTAGGTCTCTGAGCCAAGAAATGAATAATACTCTATTTGTTAAGAAAATCAGTTTTTCTCAGGATACATAGTAAATGCAAAGAATTAATGAGAGAAACATTTACCTCCAAAGAAGCTTTTATTCTTTGGATTATAGTTTTCTACCAGCACTTCCTGGGAAGTTCTGTTGTATCAAAAGACTAAGCAAGAGAAAGTCTGTTTTGTCTTCTTTATCCTTGGGGAGAGGAACAATAGAAATTATTTTCTGAATTCCATCCATATAGTCATGACTATTTGTTTCTAACCTAATTTTTAAGTTTTCATCAAACAGACATCAGTTTTAATGTAATTGATTATTTATTTTATTTTTTTATTTAATTTTTTTGTCTGTTATACGGCTTGAATTCAGGCCCTGGGCTATGTCCCTGAGCTCTTTTGCTCAAGGCTAGTGCTCTCCCACTTTGAGCCACAGCTCCACTTCTGGTTTTTGAGTGGTTAATTAGAGATAAAAGTCTCATGGAGACTTTTCTGCCCAGGCTGGCTTCAAACCATGATCCTCAGATCTCAGTCTCCTGAGTAGCTAGGATTACAGGCAAGAACCACCGGTGCTTGACTTGTAATTGATATTTTAAAAAAAGAATTTTGTGGGCTGGGAAGGTGGCTCAGTGGTAGAGCGCTTACCTTGCATGCCTGAGGCCCTTAGCACCACATAAGCAAAAAAGAAAAAAGCCGGAAGTGGCGCTGTGGCTCAAGTGGTAGAGCGCTAGCCTTGAGCTGAAGAGCTGAGGGACAGAGTTCAGGCCCACGACTGGACCTAAAAAAAAAAAAAGAATTTTGTACTAAGACTTCATTCTCATAAATTAAATTAGACTTGTTTGTAATATGCAATTCTAAGAGCACAGTATGATTAAAGCCATATGATTCATTATGACTTAGTAGTAGGTACATTTAGTAGTTTTCTTTTTCACTTGAAAAATGAGCATTTTAAATATGAATCAAATGCTTTTTTGTTGTTGTTGTTGGTCATGGGTCTTGAATTGTGGGCCTAAGCGCTGTCCCTGAGTTCTTTTTTTTTTTTTTTTTTTTTGTTCCGTCATGGGGCCTGAACTCTGGGCCTGGGCGCTGTCCCTCAGCTCTTCAGCTCAAGAGCCACAGTGCCACTTCCGGCTTTTTTTTTTTTTTGCTTATGTGGTGCTGAGGAATCGAACCCAGAGCCTCATGCATGCGAGGCAAGCGCTCTACCACTGAGCCACCTTCCCATCCCCTGTCCCTGAGTTCTTTAGCTCAAGGCTAGTGCTCTATCACTTGAGCCACAGCACCACTTCCAGTTTTCTGGTGGTTCATTGGAGATAAGAGTCTCACGGGCTTTCTTGCCCAGGCTGGCATTGAACTGTGATCCTCAGATCTCAGCCTCCTGAGTAGCTAGGATTACAGGTGTGAGCCACCTGCATCCGGCTCAAATGCCTTTGATATTCATATTTAAATATATTGTAGACTATCATTGAATTTACCCTAGGTAACTTACTTATTGATTATATAGCATTCGGAATTATTTTTATTGTTTACATGAGTAATATTAGAAGGAAATTTTAGCTAAGCATACAGAGAATAAGAGTAAATGAGTTAAACTAAGAACTAGTTACGAGTATGAACTTACTGAGATTTCTAGGAATTGAATATATGATCTTCCAAGGTTATCAGCATGAACATCAGTAAGAACACCAGACCTGATGGTGTTAAGGTTTCCCTAAAGTTTTGGAAGATTTTACATCAGTATGGAAGTCTTTTGACTGTCAACAGAAAAAGACTTCATATTTTGTACAGACTTGTCAGAATTAAAATGTTGCTGCCTTTACAAATTCTAGGGAAATAATGTTATTAGAAGATAGATGTGATATTTCTAATAGACCACTGCATTTTGCAGGAACGATTATGAGGAACTAGCTCGACAATGTAAAATGTTTGCTAAAGATTTGCTTGCACAAGCCCGGAATTCACGTGAATTGGAAGTCATCCTAAACCATACATCTAGTGATGAACCTCTTGATAAACGGGGACTGCTAGAAGAAAGAATGAATTTAAGCCGTCTAAAACTGGCTATCAAATATAACCAAAAGGAGGTAGGAGGTTCTGTATTTAAGTTTGTTTCTTCACCATGGTCTAGTGGCTCTGAGCAAAGGTTTTGGAACATGTCTAGATTGAGATTCTACTTCTGCTTCATAAAAGTTGTGTGTCCTTGTGGGACTCACTGAGTCTGAGCTTTAGTTTTAAGCATTAATATGTATTTAGGCCAAATGTGGTGCACACCTAAAATCTTAGATCTTGGAATGAAAAGGTAGGAGGATCTTGTGCAATAAGGCCAGCCTGAGCTACATAGTGAGACCTTGTCTCAAAAAAATGTTTGGACATGAAACCACGAGTACTGCCACTTATTGAGTACTTAATGCAAGCACACAGTAAATACAAAGAGTAAATGAGAGGAATGTTTGCATCTGTGTTGCTTAAGTACTCAATACATGTCAGTTGCTATTATATTTAATAATTACTATTCGTTATAATGAAATAATAATGGATCTTGCTAAATAGTAACTACACAGATAAGCCTTTATAAATGAAGTTTCCATCTTGTGTCTCATCTGATGTTGGGTTCATTTATAAATCACCCTTTCTATATAAATAATTACTTCTGTTTAAAAATGAAATATAAATATGCTGTATTTCCTTATTCTTCTTATTCAAATTCATTGTGAACTCAAAGATGAAGTGGCTCATGATATCACAAAGTTGAATCTGATTCTCTGGTTTTCTGATATTCACTGTATAGAATCTTCTAAACTATTATTAAAAACTTGAATAATTAGTTACTATTTAAAGATTCTATTTATTTATTTAGCCAGTCCTGGTGCTTGAACTCAGGGACTGGGCATTGTCCCTGAGCATTTGTGCTCAAGGCTAGCTTTGCTGCCCTTGAGCCATAGCTCCACTTTCGGATTTTTGGTGGTGAATTGGAGATAAGAGTCTCATAGACTTTCTTGCCTGGGTTGGCTTCAAACCATGATCCTCAGCTCTCAGCATACCAAGTAGCTAGAATTACAGGCGTGAGCCACTGGCACCCAGCTCTGTTTTTTCACTTTTGATGTCCGTGTGTGTCCTTTGCAGTTTGTCTCCCAGTCCAACTGCCAGCAGTTCCTGAACACAGTTTGGTTTGGACAAATGTCGGGTTATCGTCGTAAGCCCACCTGTAAGAAGATAATGACTGTCTTGATGGTTGGCATCTTTTGGCCAGTTTTATCACTGTGTTATTTGATAGCTCCCAAATCTCAATTTGGAAGAATCATCCACACTCCTTTTATGAAATTTATTATTCATGGAGCCTCGTACTTCACATTCCTGCTGTTATTAAATCTGTACTCTCTTGTCTACAATGAGGATAAGAAAAACACAATGGGGCCAGCCCTTGAAAGAATAGACTACCTTCTTATTCTGTGGATTATTGGTGAGTATCATGTTACCTGGATTTTACCTTTACTGAGCCTATTATCTCCCCCTGGCTTGATGGCATTGTGAACATTGAGTTCAGCTTGCAGTTTTACAGTTTGCACACCAAGAATTTAAACAGTTTTATAGTCACTGACGATTTAACTAATACTTTTACAAAGATAAATGTCCCTGAACTTGATGGATAACTTAACATTATTTAAATATATGGAAGTTAAAAGAACTTTTTTTTTTTTTTTTGTCGGTCATGGGGCTTGAACTCTGGGCTTGGGCGCTGTCCCTCAGCTCTTCAGCTCATGGCGAGCTACCACTTGAGCTACAGCACCACTTCCAGTTTTCTAGTGGTTTATTGGCGATAGGAGTCTCAGGTCTTTCCTGCCCAGGCTGGCTTTGAACCACAATTCTCAGATCTCAGCCTCCTGAGTAGCTAGGATTACAGGCGCGAGCCACTGGCGCCTGGCGTTAAAAGAACTTTTATTGGGGCTAGGAAGGTGGCTCAGTGGTAGAGTGCTTGCCTTGCATGCCTAAGGCCCTGGGTTCGATTCCTCAGCACCACATAAGCAAAAAGAGCCTGGCTTCAACTTTGTTTGTAATCTAAGAATTGAATGCTTACTATTTTTACAAAGGAGAATATTAAAATTTAGTTTTTCCTTTTATATAAAGTACTGATTTTTTTTCTTTAGATTATGTTGCATTCTTAATTATTTTAATTATTAAATAATTAAAGAATAATTGCCTTCTAATGCCCACTTGTAGTTCGCCTTCAGCTGCAAAGAAGTCTTTATATGTTGTAATTAACATGAAAATTAGTTCATTTCAAGTAACCAGATTTTAGTCAGACTTCTCCTTTAAACACTATTCAATCCATGATGTAATACTGCTTAGATAGAAAGAGATCACATTGTCCAAAAAAAGAAATGTACTCATTACCTGACTTATGAAATGGTAACTCCTCTGAATGACACCTTAATAATAACAACAAAATTATACTATCAAAAAAGTTAGGTGGAAACAGTAAAAATGATAAATACATGTCTAAACCAAGCTAAAGAAATTAAACCATTCCTTGCTACTAGTGTTCTATTTCTTGCATTTTTGCTTCTAGACAAAAAGGAAGCATTTGCTTGTTTAGCTAGTTGTTGATTTGGTTTTATTTTTGTGTATTTATTCGCTTAGAATGTTTTTTTTTAATATTCTATGTTCTCAGGACATGTATAGAATATCTGACAATAAAACAAAGATTCTTACTCTTGAGTTATTCCCTCAAAGTAGAAGGTTGTCAGTTAAACAATAGACACTTGAATTTCAAGAGAATCACTCTGGAAACTGTATTGAAAATAGATTTTAAGGAGATAAGCCTAGAAACTGAAGACTAGCTAGCTGTTTCAGTAGTCTCAGCAGGAGAAGGTGGTAGCTTAAAATTGAAGTGGCTATGAGGAGAATTAAATCTAAATATATTTGGAAATAATCCCAGTGAGTTTTCTTTTATAACAAATATAGGAGTCAAGGATGATTCAAGGACATTGGATCAGGCAGCCAGAAGCTAGAGTTGTCCTCATCTGAGATGGGAAATCTGCAGTTTGGGACAGAGATAGGAGTTCATTTTGGACATATCTCCAATTGGAGTTGAGAAGCAGTGAATAACTTATTTGAGTTCAGGAGAGAGGCTCATAGATATAAATTATTTTGTAAATATGAGGTGAGTTTAAGTATACAAATTTGCAATCTTAACAAATACATATTTAAAGCCATTAAATTAGATAAGATCACTAAAATAGTGAGTGCAAATAGTGAAGTGTGTGTGTGTGTGTGTGTGTGTGTGTATGTGTGTGTGTTTAGCATCATTTTACTTGTTTTCTTAGCTTGTTGAAACAAGCTAAGGAACATTCATTTAACATTCTTCTCTGGCAAATATGAAGCCTTGAGTTATTTTCTTTTGAGTTTTAAGAACTTTTTTGTGTGTGTGTCTGTGTGTTCTGGGGCTTGACCTCTGGCCTGGGACACTGTCCCTGAGCTTTTGTGCTCAAAGCAAGTGCTCTACTTACTTGAGTCACAGCTTTACTTCTGGCTTTTGGATGGTTAATTGGAGATAAGATGCTCACAGCCTTTCCTGCCTAGGTTTGCTTCAAACCGCCATCCTCACATCTCAGCTCCTGGTGTAGCTAGGATTACAGGCATGAGCTACTGGTACAAGGGTCAAATTTTAAGAACTTTTTATTTTAAAAGTTCTTTCTTTCCTCTTTCTTTTCTTTTCTTTTTTTTTAATAAAGCTATGGCAAGCCAAGGATTATCTACTTAGTACTGAATCTTAAAGTAATATTTAGCTTATTATTAAATTAAGAGACTGTTATCTGAGTTTTCTTTCTTTTTCAGGGATGATTTGGTCAGACATTAAAAGACTCTGGTATGAAGGATTGGAAGACTTTCTAGAAGAATCTCGAAATCAGCTCAGCTTTGTCATGAATTCCCTGTATTTGGCCACCTTTGCTCTCAAGGTGGTAGCTCACAACAAGGTGACTATTTATTGTGTCGGTTAAAGGTATACATTTATTAAAAAATAGTGTAAGGTATTCAGCTACTTGGACATAGGTCCAGATCTGTGTCTGGTATGTTTTCACTTAAAAACCATTTGCGAGCATATGAATTCCTTTCAATAATTTAAGCATTTCCCTTTGAATGATGGGAGCTACTCTATGATAGTAAGTACTATAGTTAGTATTTGAGATCCTTTAATGTTTTTTAAACTTTGATTCTGAGAGAAAGAATACTTATCCTCATTTTGCAAATAAGGAGAATAAAACCCAGAGATATTAATAACATATCTTGGTCCACACAGTAAAATAACAAAAAAAAGCCTAGATTTAAATACAGATCTATCTAGACATTTTCTTCCTAGTAACTGCCAATTTGTTATATTTAGTCCATTCACCTTTGTTTACTTAAACGATTAAGATGGTACCTTTATATTAATCTGAAAAAGAGTTTATTTCACAATACTATATAATGGTATTATAGTATTTTATATATTCTGTCACGATTTTTATATTTTTAAGCTTAAAAACTAGTATAAATGTAATTTATTAATTAAATGTATATTAAATATTTAATATTTGTTAAATTTTTCAGATGACTATATATATTTTATTCAGAATTCTAAAAAAATCTATTTTAGGGCTGGGAAGGTGGCTCAGTGGTAGAGCGCTTGCCTTGCATGCTTGAGGCCCTGGGTTCCATTCCTCAGCACCACATAAGCAAAAAGAAAAAAGCTGGAAGTGACACTGTGGCTCAAGTGGTAGAGCGCGCTAGCCTTGAGCTGAAGAGCTGAGGGACAGCGCCCAGGCCCAGAGTTCAGGCCCCAAGACCGGACCCCCCAAAAGAAAATCTATTTTACTTTTTTACTACAGTTTTACTTTCACCAGGTAAGGTGGCTCATGATTATAATCCCAGCTATGGGAAGATAGAGATTGGGATGATCAAAGGTCCAGGCCAGTCTTGGTAAAAAGTTTGTGAGACCCTACCCCAGCAAATGTGCTGCATGTGGTGGTACATATCTGTAATTCCAGATATGTAGAAGGATTGTAATCTGGTCATTCTAGGCAAAAAAGCAAGATTATCTGATTAAATAAAGCTAATAGGATTGGAGGTAGGGCCCTGAGTTCAAACCTTAGTACTGGCAAAAAAAAAAAAAAATACACTTTTCCAAGGCCAGAAGGAGAATAGATTTTATGTTTGTTAGCTAGCTTTGTTTAGATGGATAGTTTGGAATTTTTTCAGTGTGTCACATTCAAGGAAGTAAAATACATTATATTTTCTACTTTTTGAGTAATTTATAGGTTATAGAAAAAGCAAAATGATTCTCTTACATCAATTTGGTTTATTTAAAAATCTACTCCATTAATTTATTAGTGTTATGCAACATTATGTTTGGATACATTTAATGACCAGAGTGTGAAATTACTAAGAAGATAAAAATTGGTCATAGATTGTGAATTGATAGAGAGATGGAATGATATTGCTTTTCTAGACTTCTGTAGTCTAAGGGCAGGGTCTTATAATTTGTTATCTAATATAGGACATTTGAGAGCAACAGTATACCATTAATTATTTCAGGACAATTGGTAAATATGCTCCATAACCAACTGGTCTGTGATCTAAGCAGTTAACGTGTAGATTCTCTATGTCCAGATGTACTAATGCACTCTGTGTGTGTGTGTGTGTGTGTGTGTGTGTGTGTGTGTGTGTGTGTGTGTTGACGAGTGCACGCATATGAAACTTCTGTAATTGATTCTAAAATCCTGGTTCAAAGGACTAGGTTTATTCAATATGCCAGCTGACTATTGACAACATACATGCTTTAAATTTTATGTTGTAGGATTTAGGAAAACTAGAAAACATTTTATTTCTTAAAAAAAACTACCTACAATTTGAAAAACGAACTTTTTTTTTTTTTTTGTCGGTCGTGGGGCTTGAACTCTGGGCCTGGGCGCTGTCCCTCAGCTCTTCAGCTCAAGGCGAGCGCTCTACCACTTGAGCTACAGCGCCACTTCCAGTTTTCTGGTGGTTTATTGGAGATAGGAGTCTCACGGTCTCTCCTGCCTGGGCTGGCTTTGAACCGCGATCCTCAGGTCTCAGCCTCCTGAGTAGCTAGGATGACAGGCGTGAGCCACCAGCGCCTGGCGAAAAACGAACTTTTTATAGCCTAAGAATTTTTGCAGAATCGATACACGTCATATAGGTGGTGTTTCCGGCCATCCTCACAAGTCTTTTGCTCAGATCAAACGGTGCTTCTGTTAGGTGAGAGAAGGTCCTGAGGAGTTCATGGTGATCTTCCACAAGGAGACACAAGGAAAAATAGCTTTCTGTCCAAGAGATGGGAACATTTCTTTCTGTTGTCCTAAATTCAACCATGCTGTGTGGCTTTTCTTCCTGACTGCAGTTTCATGACTTCGCTGATCGCAAGGACTGGGATGCCTTCCATCCGACCCTGGTGGCAGAAGGGCTGTTTGCCTTTGCAAATGTGCTGAGTTATCTCCGTCTCTTTTTTATGTATACCACCAGCTCTGTCCTGGGTCCCTTACAGGTAAACACCTAAAACTTTCTTAAAGATCATTGATCATTATATGCCATTAATATTATATCTCTCTACTTATCCATTGAAACTCTGTTCTGTCATGATGTGAAGACTAAACAATGAACAATTAGAAGGATACAGCTTTTCATCTGCTTTGCTTCTAGTAATAATAATAATGCCTGGCTTTTAGGAATTCAGACTTTATTTAAAGTTCTGGCCCATTAGCCTCCTCTCTCACTAAACCTTTTGCCTGGATTGGCCTCAAACCATAATCCTCCCAATCTCTTTCTTCCAACTTCCTGGAATTACAGGCATGTACAACCAGGTCTGGTCACTGTATGAGCTTTTTTTTTTGGTCGGTGTGGGACTTGAACTCTGGGCCTGAGTGCTGCCCCTTAGCTCTTCAACTCAAGGCTAGCACTCTACCACAGTACTACTTCCGGTTTTCTGGGTGGCTTATTGGAGGTAAGAGTCTCACAGACTTTCCTGGCTGGCTTTGAACCATGATCTTCAGATCTCAGCCTCCTGAGTAGCTAGGATTACAGGTGTGAGCCACCAGCGCCCAGCTGTATGAGTTTCTTTTTTTTTTTTTTTTTTTATCATTAATTTATTTTATTTTTATCGGTTGTGGGGCCTTGTAGAGAGCTGCGAGAGGCCGCACCTGGAAGATCTGTATGAGTTTCTTAATGTGCTATTGAGTTTGGTTTGATGGCATTTTATTGAGAATTTTATGTAGATATTTATTTTTTTGTTTTTGTTTTTTTTGGGGTCCGGTCATGGGGCCTGAACTCTGGGCCTGGGCGCTGTCCCTCAGCTCTTCAGCTCAAGGCTAGCATTCTACCACTTGAGCCACAGCACCACTTCCGGCTTTTTTCTTTTTGCTTATGTGATGCTGAGGAATCGAACCCAGGGCCTCAAGCATGCAAGGCAAGCGCTCTACCACTGAGTCACCTTCCCAACCCCTTTATGTAGGTATTTATGTAGATACACATATGTTGACCTGAGTTTTGAGCATGTGTTGTTTACAAAGATAGAACTTTTATTCTGGAAGGTTGGGAATAGAATGAGTAGAAATTGTGATCATTACTGTTCCTTATTGTCAGCACAACATAATGAGCCTTAAGATATCAAGCTTTTCCCCACCAAATATATATAGATTGTTTTTACTCTTCTGTGTAATACTGTATGTGAGACAATTTGGCTCTGATAGATTATTTCCTATGGATATGACTCTAGAAATAATACCAACAAATCAAAGATGTGATCTTTGTAACACCTCAGTATTTTTTATTTATTTATAAATGGTTGTGTAGCTTTTCTGGCACACAGCAGACTAAAAATCACACTATTCAAGCCCCATTCAAATAGTATGGCATTGGGCTGGGAAGGTGGCTCCGTGGTAGAGTGCTTGCCTTGCATGCATGAGGCCCTGGGTTCGATTCTTCAGCACCACATAAGCAGAAAAAGCTGGAAATGGCGCTGTGGCTCAAGTGGTAGAAGGCTAACCTTGAGCTGAAGAGCTGAGGGACAGCGCCCAGGCCCAGAGTTCAGGCCCACAACCGACAAAAAAAAAATCAAATAGTATGGCATTAAACAGACAGGATTGACCTAGCCTGTAATCTCAGCTCTTGGGAAGCTGAGGCAGGAGGATCTCAAGGTTGAAGCTATCCTGAGTCATCCAGTGAGACCCTGTCAGTACGTACACACACATCTCCATATATACTTAAGTATGTCTCTGCCTCCGCCCCACAGCAGCAAAGTCTCCATAGGCATGGACCACATTCAAGGATGGTACCATCCAGCACTCAGTGCTGGCCTTGCTAGAATGATGTGCTGTGAAGCAGCTTGGTTTTCCATGTTCTCAAGGTGTCAAAGCTCCTCAGCCAGTGGAATAAAGGAGATGGCCTGTGGAATGTGTGTTTGTCTTCCTTGTACTGATGGGTAATCTCAGATGTAATATCAGGTTTCCAATAATGTTACTATCAGCTCCCCTATGTAATACATTCCACAGATTTCTATGGGACAAATGTTGCAAGATTTTGGAAAATTTCTCGGGATGTTCCTTCTCGTTTTGTTTTCCTTCACAATTGGACTGACACAACTCTATGATAAAGGCTACACACCAAAAGAACAGAAGGACTGTGTGGGCATCTTTTGTGAACAGCAAAGCAATGATACTTTCCATTCGTGAGTGTCTTTCAAAGTATTTCTACTAAATATATTTCTGTGCCAAATTCTCTATGAATTAGTGACTACAGAAACAAGAGCTTCAATTTTTCATTCAAAAATTTACTTTGGCCGAGCTGTGGTGGCTCATGCCTGTAATCTTAGCTACTCAGGAGGCTGATATCTGAGGATTGAGGTTCAAAGCCAGCTCAGGCAGGAAAATCCATGAGACTCTTATCTCCAATAAACCATGAAAACTGAAAGTGGTGCTGTGGCTCAAATGGTAGAACGCTTACCTTGAGCTGAAGAGCTGAGGGACAGTGCCCAGGGCCAGAGTTCAAGCCTCATGATCAACAAAAAAAATTAGTTTGTGTGTCCTCTTATTTATAATATAAGATTTGATGGGTTTGTGTTCATTTAACACAGTTGAGTGTCCCAACTGACTGAAGTCTTTGTGAGCAGAATGATCTTAGTGGAGTTTACATTGGGACACATGCAGTGAAAAGATTTAATCAAATACATATTAATGTAAGGGCTGAAAGGACAACTCAAGCTTGGGCTAAGGCGCTTGTTTGTGAGAGGTTCCAGTTGTGTGAGATTCAGGGAAAGCTGATGACGGAACTGGCCATGAAGGAGGGGACTGAAGAATGAATAATCACAAGCAGAAGGAACTTGGAGAGCCACCTTCCAGCAGTGGGAGCCCAACTGGCCTGTTCAAGACAAAGCCAGTGGGAAGGGAACATGATGAATCAGAAGGGAGAAGGGTAGGTAGGAGAGGAGGGTAGACACCTTATCAGGATCATGGAATTTTGTTACTTCCCAGAAGGATTTGGGGTTAAATTGTGATTGAAAGCAATTCAAGTTTTTGAGTGGAAGAGTGACAAAATCTAAACTAGCTACCATCTAGGCTGCTGTGCTTACACAGGAAGCACAGAATTAAAACACAGGAATAATTTATGACCTTTTGAGTTTGTTTCTTTGTTCAAAGCAAGCCATATTGGTGCTGTGGGAATTAATTTCATTTACTTATATTTTTTATTTTTATTTATTTATGTTTGCCTCTCCTGGGGCTTGAACTCAGGGCTTAGGTGCTGTCACTGGGCCTCTTTGTGTTCAAGGCTAGTGCTCTACTACTTGAGCCACAGCACCACTTCTGGCTTTTTCTGAGTAGTTTATTGGAGATTAGCGTCTCATGAACTTTTCTGCCCAGACTGGCTTCAAACCATGATCCTCAGATCTCAGCCTCCTGAGTAGCTGGGATTACAGGTGTGAGCCACGGGCGCCTGGCTAATTTCATTTATTTTTATAAAGTATTATGCAAGGATGATTAATGCTTCACTTGTATGATTCTGCTCAAATGAATTACATATCTTTGGTAATTGTTACTTCAATTTCCTTTTAAACAGAAGTGTACTTGTCTTGCCAGGTTCATCGGCACTTGCTTCGCTCTGTTCTGGTATATTTTCTCCCTAGCCCATGTGGCAATCTTTGTCACAAGGTTCAGCTATGGAGAAGAGCTGCAGTCCTTTGTCGGCGCCGTGATCGTTGGCACTTACAACGTTGTGGTTGTCATCGTCCTTACCAAGCTGCTGGTCGCCATGCTTCACAAAAGCTTTCAGTTGATAGCAGTGAGTATCCATTCTCTAAGGCCTTCTGTGCTTCCAGATCATATCAAATACATGAAATAAAGGTGATGAGACCTGAGAAATACCATCATTTCGAAGTTAAATATAGATTTTGACATGTATGATACATCAAGTCTTGAACCAGTTTTTTTTATCTGCCAAATATATAGAAAGAGCATTTAGACAGTTTTAAACATTAACTCCCTTTTTCCTGCCTGCGTGTGTGTGTGTGTGTGTGTGTGTGTGTGTGTGTGTGTGTGTGTGTGTGTGTGTGTGTGTGTGTGTGTGTGTGTGTGTGTGTGTAGGTGGACCCTCACGCATGTGCATTCTTACTCTGTACTGCTCTTCCCTTACTCTTACAGAATCATGAAGACAAGGAATGGAAGTTCGCCCGAGCAAAGCTATGGCTTAGCTATTTTGACGACAAGTGTACACTTCCGCCACCCTTCAACATCATTCCTTCACCAAAGACCATCTGCTACATGATCAGCAGCCTCAGTAAGTGGATTTGCTCTCACACTTCAAAAGGGAAGGTCAAGCGGCAAAACAGTTTAAAGGTAAGAATTAGAACTTTGAAATGCACCCTAAAAGTCTGAGCAATTTCTAAATGCAAATTTTTTAAAACCATAAATATTGAAGCTCCTTATTGGCTATGAATGACTGTTTCCCCACTTCTGAACCCCTCTGTATCCACCTAACATTCAATAAATATCAGAGTGACACACAGGACTAAGCTTTTTTTTTTTTTTTTTTTTTTGCTTATCAAATTTCCCCAGCATGTGAAGTTTTTACCTCATATTTTAAAAGCATGGGAAGTAATTCAGAATACTATTCTTTTACCATAGATAAAAAATTATTACTAAGCTTGGTTCCTGTTTTTGTTTCTTCTTTGAAACTATGCAGTTCACTGATAATTCAGAACATAATGCTTGGAAACCAGAGACTGGCATATTTTTCCTATAAAAGGCCAGGGAGTAAATGTACCATACTTTGTAAGTCAAAACAAAAGTCAGAGATAGGCATGACATGACAAGAAAGAAAAAGTTCAGTGAACTTTTATTATCACCGTAACTTGAATAATATTCATTGTAATATAGGCCTACTTGTAAAAAATCATAGAATTTTTAGTAGGGTAAATTTTTGCTTAGTTGGGGCTCAAAATTTTTAAATTGCCAATCATAAAATTCATTCCACACATTATTTGTAAGAACCTTCTCAGCGCACAGGTTATAGTGAGCCATATGTGCCCTGTGGGACAGCAAATCACTGGATAAATTGAAGGTTCCTAAGACTAATTTTTAAAATCAAGATAACCATAAAAGGAGATTGAATTAAATATTCAGGCTACATTTATTTTAAGCAAGTATTGAATATTATTCCAGACCACATCATGGCAAAACTGTCCTCTAATATAAAGATGTGTTTGAACTGAGTGTGATAGTATATGACTGTAATCTCAGCAGCTCTGGCAGCCAAAGTAGCGGAAGCTTGAGTTTGAGACCAGTGTGGGTTATAGAGAGACTCTTTCAAAAACAGTAAAGGAACGAGGAAAGGAAAAGTAAGAAAGGGGAAATTGATGTACTTGTATCTGTGACTTTTTACAAAATGTATTGGCCACACATTGGTGGCCCACACCTATAGAACTGCGCTACTTAGGAGGCTGAGATCCAGAGACTCATGGGCAGAAAAATCCAGGAGATTCAGTCTCCCAAATAACTAGCAAAAAAACAGACTGAAAGTGTGGCACAAGTGGTAGAGTGTCCAGCTGTGAGCAAGAAAATTGAGTGAAACTGAGTGCTGAGTTCAAAGCCCCGTACCTGTGCCTCCGCAAATTAAAGTCTAGGTATATCTGTATATGTATGTGTATATTTATTCATGTATAAATATATACACACATACCTATGCACATAAATATACATGCAGCATGTCATTAGTATGACTGTATTGTCTGTTTTGAAGGAATGGAGAAACTTGAAACAAAAGAGAGATGAGAACTACCAGAAAGTGATGTGCTGCTTAGTGCATCGGTATTTGACCTCCATGAGACAGAGGATGCAGAGCACAGATCAGGCCACTGTGGAGAACCTAAATGAGCTACGCCAAGACCTGTCCAAGTTCCGGAATGAAATAAGGGATTTGCTTGGCTTTCGGACTTCTAAATATGCTATGTTTTATCCAAGAAATTAACCATTTTCTAAGTCTCGTAGAGAATAATTTTCAATACAGATCTGAAAAACTGGGTATTTGCATAACTAGCAATGAAACTAATAAGACATATATTGAAATAAACAATTATATAAAAGCCATTCTTCAAAAATATTTATAGCATAAATGTTATGTAAAATATGTATATAGAATTAGTTTTTTAAAAGCCATCTGTCAGCTTTTTGTAGGAGCAGAACTAATTATTAGATTTTTGTTAGCATGCTGCTTAGTTTTCTTAATGGGACAGTGCTTTATGCTGTCTTTAATGTTTAAGAAGGGCAATCATAAATGTACAAGTCATCCACAAAGTTAAATGAGTATCAGCCAATGTGGGCTGATCTCCTGCCATAAGATACACTTGAAATATAAGTCATGGTTTAAAAAATCTCTGTTATAGGAGTCCACATATAGTTCCATATTTATTGTTTAGGAGTATAATTTTACCTAAAATAATAATCTATTTTTTTTGTTTTGTTACAATTTTAAACAACAAACAAAAAACACTAATTCATATTTGAATCTGTTTCTGTTCTTATCTATTTAAATCCATTTCATATTTGTTACTGTAATATATTTACTTTTACACAGTTATAATCATTTTATATTTCTAATTTTGTTTTTTCACTTAATAATATTTTATATGTATTTCCATGTATTGATCTGGTCAGATTATTTAAATTTTTATAGAATTATGTCATTTAAAAAATATAGTCAGTAGGCATTGTTATTTTTTGACTATAAAGTATTTGTTTACTTCTTCAGCATTTGCTTGCTTTTAACTCTTCCTTATCATAATAGTGCTATAATTTTTTTCAAGTTGGAGTGAAATTCATAGTTGCAAAATAGAAGATACTTCATTATGAGTGGTACAGTCTCCTCATTTGGTTTGGTAAAGTCTATTAATATTAAATATTAATATTTGAACTAAGATTCTTTTATCTCTCCCAAAGCATTTCCCACAGAACTTAGCATAGCTTCTGTAAAAGTGACTTCATGCTTACTTATAGATTGTTCTTGCTGCTGAAGATGAAAAACATTGCTTTTTTTTAAGTTGAGAATAAGATACTTATTTAATTTTTATTTTCTTTTTTTTGTGTGTGTTCATGTAACCATGTAGCTAAAACATCTCCCAGGCTATTGCTTTCATTTTCCTACAGCATTTCCAGCTAAGAAGGTACAGAATTATCTTCTTAACTCAAGATTCTGTTCTTAGGACCATGGGTGCAGGCAGCCCTTGGTCTAAGCACCGCTAATCCAGGGACCATTGTCTAAAGATGTGAGTGGTATATTTCATCTTGCTTTTTACTCTTTATTTTTTAATTTCCAAAGTTTAAGTGTCCCCTCTTTTGGGCTAATTCTTACAAAAATGTTTATTGTAAAGTTATATATTTTGTCTACTATGGGATTATACACTTCTCAACTGGGATTTTACATCAGTATTTTTAGTCATTCTAAAGAATACCTACTTATTAAATTATAATATTTTAGAGTGCCTATTGTATGCATGAGTTACTTATGAGGTATATTTTGAATGCCAGCATATTGTAAGAAAAAAGGTGAATAAAACTTGGCATTAGATTATAAATTGACAGTCTCTTTGTTGTATTATCATCTACTTTTTAAAATTGAGATATAATTTATACACTACAAAGTTCACCCCTTTAAAGCATAAAACTCATGGTTACTGGATTTTTTAACTCATGATAACAAAGACCTAAAATGCAAAATGTCAATATCAGATCACCATGGCATTTCTTCCTATCTCCAGGGGCAATCAAATGTGACTGTTTCCTCCATGTTTGAAATAATGTGTCTCACAAAGACCTGATGTGTGAATGTTCATAAAAGCTTTACTCAGAGTTTCAAAGTGAAAATAATGAAATGTCCATCAGCTAGTAAACAGATTAACAAATTGTACATCTTAAGGTGGAACTCTACAAAGAGACTCATATTAAGAGTTCAGTCAGAGCAGCAGAGCTGCTAGGTTATTTACAGGCTTGTGTGTATGTGAATGTGAGCATGTGTGAGTGTGTGCACACACACGTGTGCATGTGGTGTGATTTGTAAGGATTTGACAGTACAGTTGTTGCAGTTGGTAAGGGGTGTCTGTGAGGTTATGGTTTTTGTCTCTGATGCCGGAACTGGAATTGTATGGGATCAGCAGGTGAGAAGGGAGACAGCAATTCCAACACGGAGCCCTTGAAGGTAGATCGCCACCCATAATACTTCTCATGTCTCCAGCTTCACAATGGAGAACTGTGAGAAGTGTGTTGTGGACACGCAGTTGGCCCAGCCATTAGAGAAACTACAGGAGGACCCAAGGGATGGCGGGAATAGCTGTGGTTCTGCTAGCTGCCCCGGCTTAGCAAGGTGAACCAGTAGAGAAGTTACAACATGTTCAAACACCAACAACTGCTGCTGCACTTCTGCTCTCCAGATCTCACACGAACAAGTCTCCTGACCCACACCAACTAGAAGGACAAAAAGAAGAGAATCCTTTAGGCCCAACCAAGGTAACACTCAGCAATCAACTACTGATACATGTATTAACATGGATGAACCTTACGAGTAAGTGAAGGGAAGCCAAGTTCAAAGGTATGTACTGTGTAATTCCATTGCGTTCCATATTAGAGAAGATAAAAACATAGGAACCAAAATCAGTGCTTCACAGGGTCTGGTGGAAGGAGGAGATTGATTGGACAAGTCATCAAACTGTATACTGAATGAATTTCAATGAATGGAAATTGAAAAATAAATTCTCATGCCATGACATATGAAAACATAAGAGTTGGGAAAATAACCGGAATCTTTGACTGTTTGGCCAATTGTGTGTTGGCTGGCATCTAGTCAGCTGATGAGAAATGTGTATTGAAATTCTGGTTCCTTACATTGAACTTGAAGAATATGGAGATTATTTGTTTCAACCTGATGATTTAATAGGTAGAAAAGCTGGCATTGGGAGCTGGGAAGGTGGCTCAGTGGTAGAGCGCTTGCCTTGCATGCATGAGGCCCTGGATTCGATTCCTTAGCACCACATAAGCAAAAAGAAAAAAGCCGGAAGTAGCGCTGTGGCTCAAGTGGTAGAGTGCTAGCCTTGAGCTGAAGAGCTGAGGGACAGCGCCCAGGCCCAGAGTTCAGGCCCCAGGACCAGACCCCCCCCCAAAAAAAAAAAAAAAAAAAAAGAAAAGCTGGCATTGTGTGCAACTTGTCCAAGGTTGTGTAATCCTGAACTCAATTGATGGTCTGTGCTGGGTGAGACATTTCTGAAAGTTTAGCTTCTTGAAATTAATTTGTAGGTTCGTCTTGGTCAACAAACAGAACTTGTAAGATGCCTCATCTCTACTTTTCTGAAAGCCTGCCTTGCTAAAAGTCTTTTCTGACCAGGATCAAGTAGAGACCATGAGGTGAGTACCGGTCAGAGGGAGACAGGTGGACAGTGAGACAGTCAACACAGCAGGAAAGGCGGAGTCAGCCTCTGAAAGTAAGGAGCCAGGCTACGCCCCGATAGAGAGTGTTTACACACTAATGACAAAGGTGGGAGTTTCTGTTTTCATTTTATTTATTTTTTGTAGAGCTGGGCCATTACATGCAAGGGCAAGTACAGTACCACTGAACAGTATCTCCATTTTCTTTCCCCGAGCCTCCTCTCTCCTTCCCTTCCCTTTCTTCTCTTCTTCCTTTCCCTTTCTTATCTTCTCTCCTTCCCTTCCTCTCTCTCCTCCTCCTTCCATCTTTTTCTCCCTCCCTTCTTGAAATGATTCTAATCACCAGCAGATTAGGTTACCTCACGTATTCTATCTGAATAACATGTCCTTTCTTCCTTTCCAAACTTTTCATCATATATTTGATTTTCTTCTCATTACATTGTATAAAAGTTCCAGTATATTTCTTTCATTCTGTTTTTCTGTCTAAGACCAGGACTTGAACTCAGTACCTAGCATTTGATCATTGGCTGGTGCTCTACCAACTGAGCCATGTCTCCAGCTCCACAGTTTTTAGTAGAAAAGATTATTTCAAACATTCTTTTTTACCACTGATATTAAAAGTATTGCTTTAAGCATAAAGCTTACTAGAGGTTTTTCTGGTCAACTTGAAGATAAATTTTCTCCTTTTCATAGTTTGTTCCTGGTTTATTTTATGTATAGACATGGAATTAAATCAGTTGTCTTTTCTGCGTTATTACGATCAAATTATTTTTTCCTTTAATCTACTAGGAATGGGGCTTCGCAGCCTTTGCTCATTCTATGAAGAATTTGACCTTTGTTAGCTACATTTTACCAGAGGAGAACTAGATAATACATTATGTCAACTATGTTGCTAGGCAAACTTGTTTATGGTGAGAAATGAGCTCTGACAGATAGAGGCTACATCTGGTTTGGAGGAACCACAGCTGAGCTATGAATACCTACCAAGGAAGCCAGAACTTTGTGCTGAGTACACAACTCCTGCAAGTAGGTCAGTCACCTGAAAGGAGACTGGAAGTTATGCCTATAGTCATATGAATCAACAGAAATCCTAGCTTCTCTAGAATACTCCTTCAAGCTGGAGTGTCTACATGGCACCTGACATGAATGTTGTCTCTTTGCCTCTAAGATGTCTCCTAGGGAACTAAGGGATGCTGTGGAAACTTCTGGCAAACTCATGAAGGACCCTTATGCAAGGAAGTGTAACAGTGTCTTACTGGTAAGTTCTTGTCCCTGTGCACTGTCCTAGGCAGGAGGTACCACCACAGGCCTGTTGTATTCTTACAAGCCTGAAGAATGTCTGGTTGTTTCTACAACTCCCTAGTTGGCTCTGCAGGTCTATCTATGCAATAAAATATGTTCATTATTTTTTGAGTGTGTGTGTATGCCTGTACTGAGGCTTGAACTCAGGACCTGGAGCTCTTCCTTGGCTTTTTAGTTCAAGGCCGGTACTCTACCATTTGAGCCACTTCTCCACTTCTGACTTTTTGCTGGCTAACTGGAGATAACAGTCTCATGGACTTTCTCCTGCTCAGGCTGGGTTCAAACTGCAGTCCTTAAACCCCAGCCTCCTGAGTTGTTAGGATTACAGGCATGAGCCACCAGAGCATGATTGAATCAAAAGATTAGCCAGTATCACCCATTACTGACCATGAAACCCTAAACTGTTTAAGCTTTATACACAAGCTATCCGTGGAAAGAGTAGTTTGGACCTGAGTTCAAAACCCCAGTACCACCAAATAAGAAGGGGTATATTTTATACAATGACAAATCTAATGGCTGCTTCATAATCATTTTAAAATGTTTTTATTAAGCATTACTTTTAAAAAAATGCAAGAGAAGAAAGCAATACCTCAGAAATGCCTAAAGGTAAGACAAATAATCACTATAAATAATGCACTTATAAAACCTCTTTTTTAATCTCCTCACACAACTCGATTCAAAAATATCCTCTGACAGATTTATAAATAAGCGGCTTCCCAGGAGCCAACGCTTGGCACCGTTCGTTTCCTGCCAGCAACCTAGTCGGCAGGTTTGCAGATACACTTTTCTCAGTACAGACTCTGGACGGCCACCAGCCCTATCAAGGACTCACATCATCTACATGACATGACAGGAAAATCAGTCCAACCTTTCAGGAAGCTCCTGATTCAATCCTATGCGATTTTTTTTCTACTTAGGGAGAGCAGATCTTTCAGTGACAGCAACAGACTGCGCTTAAGTGGACACGTTCTCTGTTAACATCGCTTGTTTTCTAAGGCGGTCAGAACCTTCTGATTCTTGGTCTTGAACATCATGATAAAGCTGTTGGGCATCACTTTGCCCTGTCCATCTTCACCTACTTGGCCCATAATAATATAATTTAGACCTGAAGGAAGAGAATACATAAATGAATAATTTTCTTTATGTACATCCTTTGAAACAACTTAGACCACAACTTTTCTCTGGGTAAATGTTTTTCTCTGTAAGTGATATAAATTATCCACTTAGCTATCTAGGATAAATCTGGTTTAAGCAAAAAGTTAAACTCAACTAGCAGTAAATTCTAGTTCTGCTAGTGCAAGGAACCTATAAGCAGCAGTGAGATACAGTCAACGTGTGGTCCCTCGCTCTTCAGTGCTATCAGTCACGTGTAGTTTCTTGATGCTTCCTGTGATTAATGTACTGCATGAATACGAAAGGTTCCTCAGTGCTGCATGATGC